ACCGACATTTTTCACTCTCAAAAGCGGTGATAATCCAGCCTTGTTTTGAAACCCTATACCATGGTTTGGGGCATTGAGAGCAAGTGGATTACCACCGGGGACAAAAGCGCTCCACCACCGCAGCGATGAGCCACACAGCACCGCTGCACGCTAGTCTGGCCCCTATTGAAAAGAGGCCAGCAGCGCATGGAGCCATGTTCGTGAACAAAAGACAGTTATATAACACCGCACAATCTGGGCTATGTTTACAAGGCTGCAGGCCTGGCTGAAATACTGAAATAACCACAAAGTGGTTAAAATCAGGCTAGTAAGTTTTCATTTCCACTGATACACAGCTTCATGACCACTGGATTGGGCAATGCTCATTTGTCATATAGTATCACGCACATTAACATGCTTTCTACGCATAGTTTCGTACAAGATTTTAAATACTTTTTGGACATAAATTCATCAAAATCCAGCATTATTGTACATGTACATGTGTGAAAGTCTTGAACATGGTACAACATGTGAAGACATCTATTTCAAAAATGCCACAAAGACAGTTAAACCAATCAGAATGCCTAAATTGTTTTCAGAAAATTCTGACCCAAAACAAGAGCTGCAGAGAGTGACTCTGGCATGTCCTGACCTTCCAGGCTGTTCGGAAACATGAACGCGAAAGACGTATAAATTTTTATAGATTTTTTTGCAGCTCGAGGCTGTTCCCAGATATTTTAGTGGTATATTTTTACACCGTATATTGAAAACACTGCATGTCAAATGCGCTCACAAGTCATTTTCATTTATTCTCGGGGGAATTACTTCGATGCAGCTTGTTCGCGGACTTTGTGTTATTATAATACAGCCTTCAACCCATCATGAATTGTTCAGTAAAACATTATAATGACAATAGAGGGCTGGAATTTCTGTTCAAAGCATACAAAGTCATTTTTTTCCTTACCCTCGTCAAAAATGCAAATTCTCGTTGTGCCTTTGAAATTGATCTGGTCACTGTAGGATATTACCTTTCTTTTATTTGTGGCTCAAGGGATAAACTGAATACTGTTGTAGTAAATTTTTGTTTCAAAGAACGAGAAAATATGAAATATACTCTAACAGAGGATATGAAATATATAGTCGAGAGTCAAAAGATAAGCTGAATTTTTTTGTAAAATTTTCATTTAAAACAGGAAAATGAATTTGAACCCCTTCTCGGCTGGAATTCCAGCCTCACTTGGCCACGAAGGCCACCTACCAAACCGCAAATTCTCGGTTTGTGGCCCGGTGTGCTCTGCACGCTTTGAATTACACGGTGAAAAGGCTGATTGTTCGGTAGCATGCAGCTCTACTCAAGCTTCCACATTTCCGTTGCCTCTTTTCAAAGTGGGGACTATTGTGAAGCTGGTGATTATGATGCAAATTTGGTCTTTTCATTTCTGGGCTACACACAAAGACCAATTACCATATACACAAGAGCCATGGCCTGCCTTCTTTCACCGTGTTCGCTCGAGCGTCGGCCGAGAATAATAGCTGAAAAGCGGGCTGAGGATCTCAATTTTTAGGGCGTTTTAACGCGTCCGGGCATGAAGGGGTTAAGAATCATATCTTCACCCCTTCAATGGATTTGTGAATATGGAAATAAACTGAGCATCTATGAATCAATTCATGTCAAAGATGAGGAAACCAAATAAAGTGCACAGGTATTCCTGACGTGAAAATAATCTGGGCAGTGATCAACAGCTGATCTATAAAAAGGGCTACAATGATTATCCACTACAGGTGACATTCTTTTAACTAGGTGGATTGGTAAAATTTAGAGTCAAGAAATAAATTGAAAATTTCTGTATTAAATTTTAAACACAAAAAACTTTTTTACTGGTACTTAGTTTTTAACTTAAGGCGGTATCCTCTCTGAACCAAATAATACAGTGATATCAAAATTTGGTAATCCTGTAATCTTTTGTCAGTTCTAACATTCAGTTACAGAGTTTTTAGTTTTTCTGAACATGTTCTCCTGACATGCATTTGTCTTCAAGGAAAAGACTTTTTCTCAAACCTTGAAAATGCAGAAAAGTTGCATATTCTGTTAAAGCAGTCATAGAATCTTTAGTCTTGATTTGACTTTGTTATATACATGCACTTCTGAGATGGTTTCTTGCACAAATGCTAAGATGAAATAGATTTTACGATGACTTGCAATAAATTCTGTTACATCATTAACCATATGCTGCAGGGGAACTCAGCTTTGAGCACATAGGTTTTATACCCGAAACGGGGTGCCTGAATCGGGCC